GTCCATTTTGACAAAGCATAAGAAAGAAGCATATTAGCTGAAAGGTGAGAGATTGCAGAGCTCTGAGGTGCAGCAAGATCTGGGTGTCCTCGTACATGAGTCTCAGAAGGTTAGTGTGTAGGTAGGCAAGTAATGAGGAAAGCTAATAGAATGTTATGTACTATTGCAAAGGGAATTGAATGCAAGAGTAGGGAGCTATTAACATGTAATCTGTATCATTCTGTTTAAAAACTATCATGTAACCTGTTGATTGATCTGATTGCAAGTTTAGGTGATTCTCTTCCAGTTTACGTACAAGATTTCTGAGGGTACTCCTTGTGATCTTTTATCTTCACCAGTACCATTGTTAGTGATCAGGGACAGGTCCTTGCATGCCATTAGATCTGAATTATTGTACCTGTGGAAGCCACAAAATAAAACATCTGTGGTGACCGGAGTAAGTTTCTTTTTCACAAGACTTGAGCATTATAGATCCCAGTGATGGAATCACCAAACCATTGTATGCAGATTAATTTGGCATTGGTTTGATAAATCATTGTTTACCATTTTTCTGGGCATGTACATTTCAATGTGTGAAATCAAAGGATGTTTGCACCTGCAGTGATATCCAAATGCCTACAGATTTCACTGTCATTCCACCTGTGTGTATATAATCTGGACGATGGGTAATGACTTCTGTTGGTTCACTATGCCGATACATTGTCTGATGTTCTCTATGCTGAATGTCGGCTGTCTTCATGTGTTGATTTTCTGTTTATTGTCCTGTTGATAGGCGCAGGCTAGATGTTTTGTGGCTCTTGTCTCAACACCATTTAGTGCACTCTGGATTGATTGGAATGCTGTACTTGTCTGGCCTTTGGATTTCACTTCTCATGACATGAAACCACTTGTTCTGGCCTCTTCTTCCTGCACTGGCATTCCAACGTCCTCTGGTGCCACGTGCCTTGCACATGTTAAAAGTAGGCAGTTCTGGATGCATTTATGAGATTGTGCTATCTGCACTGCTTAGTAGGTTTGCTTAGATTGGCTATCACGCCGATGTTGGATGAATAATGCATGACCTGTAGATTCTGTCTACCCATTCGTGTGACATTGTACTTGCAAACATTTTTTTACTGATATTTGCACAGTGTAACCTTTGAGTCAGTCCAAGATCTCTTTACAATACTTCCTTTGGACCTGATACCATCATGAACTCGATTTATTCTTTTGGCCATCTCTGCCATGGTGAAGTCACAAAGATACCCTGATTGCTGCATATATTTATGAATTGATCAGTCCTGCTCTCCATTAGTTACGGTCTAAAGGCTATTAATTCCAGATATTCAGGAGTTGAACTTCATTCGTAGTTGATCTTCACGTGATAACCATATTATATATGGATTGTTTAGTTGTTGAACAGAGCAGATGTGTTCAGACTATAGAAGCAATTGTTGCAAAAGCAATTTTAATTTTAATGGCTTGTTCCTCTATTTTTTAAGTTCTACCTCTGCTTAAACTTCAAAGCAGATAGTAGACCTGGAAGAGATCAATTAATAAAGATCTTACTGGGTCTTGATGCTTGCTGCCTGAAACAATGTGTGATCTCAGCACAATGGTTTAGAATCCTTGTATAGCTGCAGATTTCTTATGCACAATGAGCCTTGACCATCGTTTCATGTCAAGTCTTCCAGTGGAGCATAAATAAATTGAGGCTTCTGTTCTGCTTCTTCAAATCTTCAAAATCATGTGGCACCAGGTTTTTGGATGATATACTTGAAAATCTCAAATCTGCAAAAATCATGCAACCAGTATGCTATTATGTTTAAAAGATTGTTACCAGTGACATCTGTTAACCTACTTTATATTTGGCATTAATACACTGGCTGCAGTTACTGTTTTAGTTCTACTGTCTTAGACATAAACATACCAATCGTATACAAATATTGATGAAACAATAATGTGAGTTCTTAATTGAAGATGAGACTATATGCAGGTAATGTCCTCTGCAAGTTAAGTATAGCTCATCTTACTTTTACAACTGCTGCTCCAGACTGTCAAAGAGTTCATGGGATTAATCCATAAATATCCAGTTGGCTAGCTCTGTAGAGGTGGTTTAATTGACAGTAGTTTAAAATATGCTCCCTTAAAGGTATATGTACATCATCAGAGGTTAATGATGAAACAGCTGAAGACACTTGGGTCTAGACACCCTGAGGAACTCTTCCACTGATGGGCTGGAGTGATGAGCTTCCAACAGCTGGAGACATTTTTTGTCTTGTTCTACATATGACACCAATTAGTGACAATTTTTCCACAGATTCCCATTGGTTTCAATTTTGTGAGGGCTCCTTGATGCCACCATCTCCAACATGTGGCTTTGATATCAAGTAGTTGTTCTCCTCTAACCTCTGGAATTCGGCTCTTTTGTCTATCTTTATGCAAAGTTCTACTTGTACGAAGCAAAGAATTTAAATATATATCTATGCATTATACATTATTAATGTACAATTATTTGTTATGTAGTGCCAATTTTAGACCTGTACATATTTTGTAAAGAAGTTAAACATGTACTCATCACTAAACACGTGCCTAACTGACACGCTTAAATATATTCCTAAGTCCCTTGAAGCATTGATAATTAAAACATTTATCTTATGTCATAAGATTTCCAGTTGCCCCCAGAAGAGTGATTGATGTTGTGTAATCTTTAGTCAAATCATTACTTTTGTTACTATATAATTTGCATTTAAACATTACTCATTGCAGTATCTGACTTGATCAATTATCATGCCGAGTTTTAGTTTTGTACCTTGGAGCCATGTGTCAAATGCATTACTAAAACAGTAACTGCAACCAGTGTATTAATGCCAGACATAATGTAGGCTATTAGATGTCACTGGTAGAGTACTCTATTAAATTGAAAAGAGGACTTTTTTTATTTAAAACAGCTTGAGGAACTTTTATTGCTCTCCAGACAACTGGAAGATGGCACAATATAAGCACTTAATATAGCCATTCTGAGGCTAGTTGAAAGACGTGAACAATGTAATTTTGTGTTTTTCAATGTGTGTATTTAACTGGAAGACCTGTGATCATGTGCCAAATTCCAATGACATGCTTAAGTGGTAAATACGCTGTTCACAGTTACCAATTGTATAACATTGTAAAATTAGGGATGTTTTGAGCATCAGCCTCTTGTTTAAAAAAAAACCTCATTCTTAGCATGTACCCATTGCTGCCTATCTCTAATTGATCTGAGGTGACTGTGAGGTGCTCTTTTGAATTCAATTGAGTGACTTGCTTGAGGACACACATAGGTCAAATAAGAAAAGAATGAAAGATTTCCTCCCATAAAATGGTATTAGTGATGTATTGTGGATTTTTTTTTTTAAAAAGTCACACAATTTCATTGTCACCATTACTTACTGTGAAAGAATTCGAGTTTGTCTCTGGAGCACTAGTTAGTGATGTAACTACTGTGCTACCATGTTTCATTGTTTTCAGCAGTCTTTAATCTAACATCTCCTTTGTTTATGCTGATACTTGAGTTTGGGAAAAACAATATATTTGGCCTTGGTGCCCTCAAATAGCAAGAGTTGCGGGGTGTTGTTTGGGGTGGTATCAATCTTTCTTTTATCTGGTGAGTTTGCGCACACATTCTTTGGTGAGAATCGGTGCAGCTGAGGTTTTTTTTAATCATTTGTTCATTCACAACTAGCCAGCAAATATTTCCTATCCCTAACTACTCTTGACAAGGTTTTGGTGAGCTGCCTACTTGATTTGCTGCAGTCCAATAAGATATAGGTAGACTCACAATGCTGTTAGGGAGAGTTCCAGTATATAGACCATGAAGGGGCAGTGATATAATTTCAAGTCAGCATAGTGTGTGATTTGGAGGGGACCTTTCAGCTGGTTGCATTCTCATGTGCCTGCTGCCCTTGTCCCTCTAGGTAGCAGAGGTTGTGGGTTTGAACAGTGCTGTATAAGGAACTTCTGCAGTGCATCTTGTAGCCGTGCTGCTGCTGCTTCTCTGTGTTGATGGTGGATGGAGGGAATGTTGAAGGTGTTACATTAGTGCCAGTCATGCATGAGAACAGTAGTTACTGGGATAGGGTTCTGGGGTTCACACAACCATGAGATGCCTCTTTGGGAGGGAAGAGTCCATGTAAAGGAGTGATAGTAATATTTCATCTCCAGTTAAAGACTGATATCAATTTGAAGCCTCAAATTTTTGTATGTTAACTGTGAAACTCTTTTAATATACCATTTCTAAACAGAGGACCTGAAATGACATTGTTTTTCACCAAAGTGTGAGGATCTAACATTCTCATCTGTTATTTCTCTCTCCACTGTTTTAGTTAAGTACGTTAAGCAAATCCAATGGCATGATTTTAAAGTTAAGATTGTCAAAATATTAAGTCATCATAAAAATTGTTTCAGCCTTTTAAGTGGTAGGGCACAAAAACTGCATTCTTGATTCTCTCATATAACACAGTGTGGAGCTGGAGGAACACAGCAGGTCAGGCAACATCGGAGGAGCAGGAAAGTTGATGTTTCAGGTTGGGACCCTTTTTCTGAAGATGCTGCCTGACCTGCTGTGTTCCTCCAGCTCCACGCTGTGTTGTCTCTGACTGCAGCATCTGCAGTTCTTACTATCTCAATCTTGATTCTCTAACTTGTGCTTCCTTTAATGTTAAAAAATGTAGTACTTACTCTTGATTGTACTTTGAGAGTTATTTGACAGAATATTGATATTAATGAAAACCGAAAGAACTGCAGATACTGTAAATCAGGAAAAAAAAAACAGAAGTTGTTGGAAAAGCTTAACGGGTCTGGCAGCATCTGTGAAGAAAAAAAAATCAGAATTAACGTTTTGGGTCCGGTGACCCTTCCTCAGAACAGTTCTGAGAAAGGGTCACTGGACCCGAAATATTAATTCTGATTTTTTTCTTCATTGATAATAATGAGATTTGTATTCACTTGGTTAACTGGTGTAATGCACTTTTTTTTAATTTCAGAAGCGGTTTTGCCAAGGATTAGAAAGTAGCTTTCCAGTTGAGAATGGTGTACAACAAACCCAACTCAACGAGAGCTTCATGTATCACCAGAATCTACAGAAGCATGCTCATCCTACAAGACTGATGGGTAGAAGAGTTGCATTCCCCAGTGTTGGTCAGCTGGCATTTATGGTACAGCCAATTGTTTTTCTTTTTACAGTTGATATGTACTTAGCAATCGCATTTCAAAAAAATGACTGTCATAAGCTTATCACTTGCTTTCAAGTAAAGGGTTAAGTATTGCCCTTATAAAGGCAAAATACTGTGGATGCCAGAAATCCAAAGCCAATGCAAAATGCTGGAGAAACGCAGCAGGTGTGGCAGCATTTGTGGAGAGAGAACCAGCGTAAACATTTCAAGTCATACCAGACTCTCAACACTTACTGTTTCTTCCTCTACAGATGCTGCCACACCTGCGGAGCTTCTCCAGCATTCTGTGTTTGCTTAACATTGCTCTTGTTGACCAGAAGCACCTTGCAATTCTACCATCTACTAATCTTACATTAACAGATTTTTTTTTTAAATTTCTCCTAAGGAACCGTGCATAAATATTAATAATCATTTTTAGAATTATTCACAGTAAGGAATGTCGAATGGCTTCAAGTATTCATGAGTTGCCACGAGGAGTTAAGTAACGTAAAACGATGGTTGCTAAAAGATGCTTGTTATATTGAGTTACCTTTATTGAAATAATTTATAGATTTTGTTCTCCCAAACCTAGCTTGATCCTTGAGAACTTTCTGGATATACATAATCCCCCAACTGAAGTGGTGGTTACTCCCAGCAGCCGTGGGAGCGCATTGAGGTGCTGAATAAAGGGTAGTGCACAATGTTAAAGTATATTGACTTAAAGCATTTTGCTATAGGGTAGTTTGTTTCTCTCTTGTTTTACTTAATAATAATGATAGACAGTGGCCTGTTGAACTTGTACTCTCTGAACATGGATCCTTTCTAGGACTGTGAGATCATAGAATTGTCCATGGTTTGAGTAATTCCAAACTGCTTGTTGTCAATCTACCAATTGAAAAAGTTAAATCATTAAATTTGTTAACAGCATAAACATAATTGCAGTCTAATACATTTCTGCACATTTATCATCTGGGATCACCGTACTGCACTGCATTCTCACTCATCACTTAATGATATTTATGTTATTTTCCTTTTATATTCCCAAATGTGAAATGAAAACAGAATTTGTTGTCACCAGGAATTTTGTGAAGCAAAATGATAGATGCAAAAACCTTCATGTGATGTTGAATTATCTTTATTGATCCCATCTATAGATTTTGTACATAAAAACCTAGTGGAAGTATAAACCATTTAGGTGTACTCCAATAGGTCTAAACCTGAAATGTTGGTCTGTTTCCAGTATCTTATACTTATTATTCCTGTTAATTATTATTAATTCACTATTCATATTGGGAGATATTAATCCAAAAGAAAAGGGATTATTTCCCTTCTCCACAAAATGACGTAGAATAATTGTTGTAATATTTATGTTGGCTGCAAACCAGTGAAGTGCACAGTGGTTAACACTGATGCCTCACAGCACCAAGAACCCAGGTTCGATTGCCAGCCTTGGGTGACCATCTGTGTGGGGTTCGAACATTCTCCCTGGTGACCCTTCCTCAGAACTGAGGAACCTGAAATGTTAACCTGATTGTTCTTCACAGATGCTGCCAGACATGCTGAGCTTTTCCAGCAACTTCTGTTTTTGTCCCTGATTTATAGCATCTGCAGTCTTTTTTTAATTCTTATTGACCTCTATTTGCACTGTAGGGATTCTATGATCATTTTTCTATTACAGAACTTGATGGCTTTTGTTTCCAATTACTTCTTAGGCTTACTGATGGCGAAAGTGAGGCTATTTCTCTGCCAAAAGATGGTAGGCATCATGTTGCTGATGTTGATTTTCCTCACTCCTCCACTCAGTATTATGGACCAGACCAAACCCCCTCAAAATATATCAAGGAGAAAGCCTAGACCCTTACTTTTAATTTCTTTAGAGGCAAGTGTAAGGCGTCACATTCTAGATGTGATTCTGTTGGTCAAACCAATAGGCTTTAAGCAAAACAAATTTTTTTCTTACACCACAGATAAAATACAAGCAAAAAAGATGAATTTCAAAAAGAATAATTTCAACTGTATCCAAATACTTAATAAAAATAATGCATAATTTAACTCCTGCTCATCAACTGTTCCAATATAGCAGAATTCCATAAACACACCCTTTCTAAAGGCAAACTCAGCACAACGGGTTTCCCTCACTTGCTGTTCCCTCCAGTCCAGTAGAAGGAACACTTTCAGAATGAATCTAGCAACAGAGAGCGAACTTCAACTTTTGCAGCAGCGGAGAGTGAGATCTGTATCTAGCAGCTTCAACTCCAAAATTCCAACTTCAACAACTGAAAACAATTTTAAAACCCTGTGTCTGTGTGAGCCTGACTCCCTCCCACTCATGCTTCTTTTGACTAATTTTTTAAAAAAGCTATTTACTCTGCTTTCCATGGAGCAGACATCTCGCCACCAGGTTGGCAACACCCTTCTTCAAGAAAAACAGTACAGAACAAATCCCTCTTAGAGGCACACGTCATCGCATTTGCATCCTGTTTATTCAGTGGTAAATGTCTTGATTTAATTTCCATGATAGCATAGCCACGATTTGATAATCGTCAGTGATTTTTGTTTTCTACAACTGTACAGTTCAGTATGTTGGAGCATTAATGTACAAGGAACCACTTGTAAATTTTGGAATATGATGCATCTTTCCATTTACAGTTTTCCAAGCAATTAGTGACCTTTATAAAATACCCCAAAAAACTATTAATGATCACTGTTGATTATTTGGTAGTTGATGTAAAATTTATGTTAGCATTTTCTTTTCAAAGATGCAACAAAGTCATGAGCAAGTGGACACGTCAAAGCCTTGTCCTCGATGTTTGGCAGGTGAATCTGTAAGTATTTTTATTATTTCCTAAGATCTACTAAACCCTGTAACATCCAGGCTTTATAAATCAGGATAAAATGCATGAATGAAAATTGAAAATGACATCACTCTTCCCAAATATTTTTATTAATTTAGTACTGATTAATTTGTTGAACCCCTCATTTTCAAACATGGAGCAAACCTACAGAAATGACTGATCGAGGCTAGCCCACCACAGTAAATGCTCAATTTAATGGAGTCAATGTACTTGAGTAATTGATTTGACTCTCAGCACATTTTAGCCTTCTATTGGCAACTAACATGAGGCAGCAGCTTAAATTAGCACAATAAGTGCATATTCAAAGGAAAATGGAGGCATATATTCTTTAACCTTTATAATTTTTCAAGTAAATTTAAATATTGTACCAGCTTTTGCTTGCAGAGTAGAGAGAGCTGCTTGGTAAAGTGAACTGAGAAGGTGCTCAGTTTGGAGACATGCAATAGTCTGTAGATAAGTATGAGAGCAGTATAGCATATCCCTTTTTATTGCTGGAAAGGTGGCTGTGCTGCTGCATGAGGTTAACCCGTGTAGTGATGCTGTTCAAAGTGCCAGAGGAGAATGCTGCACCTTGCTTGTTGGAAAATAAAGGCTAGGTTCATGATCTGTACAGTGCATGGCTATTATCTACTATGCTGTCTAATATTGGTAACATTTCATTGGAATAAATTCTTAGTTATGCTTTTCTCAGGAAAAGAAGTGAGCCTTGTCTCTAGCAAACTAGTTTAATGCATCTGAACATCTGACGTATTAGCTAATTTCATGAGCAGTGATTAAGAAGAATTAGGTAATGTACATATATAATGTATTCACATGGGAAGAGCTGCTCCTGTCCTACACATTGCCTGCACACTGGGTTTTGTCTGCTTGAAAAATCCTTGGCAAGACTTGAACAGGAACAGCCATGCTAAAAGGCTGGTAATTGACATGATGTCTTATGTTAGTTTAACATAATGGATCCTCAACCATGACAGTTAACAAATTAAACAATAAATCATTTTGAGTAAAGCAATTTCAGTAAATAGGCTTTATTGAAATGAGTGCTGGTCTGGTTCCATGATCCGTTTAGGTTCAGGCTTTGCATCAGGTTCATTTTATATATAAACTGGAAATCCGACATCTGGCACAGCCTTGGAACTGACAGAACTGAAATGTACATTATACTTGTAGCATGTTCTGTGTAAAAGATGTCCCCCTGAATTTCCTATTGAATTTCTTAGTCATTATCTTCTATTCATATCTTCTAGCTGTGGTTTCACCGATTACACATGTTCATAATCCACCAGGCCAATCTTCAGCCTTCTCTTTTCTCAAGAAAAAAATTTGAGCTGCTTCAGTCTTTTTTGATGAGAATGAACTCATTGTCCTTGTACCATTTAACTGCATTTTTGCATCCTCCCAGTGCATCTATTCCTTTATAAGTAAGGAGACCAGAACCGTTCACAATACTCCCAGGAACTTCCTAATCAAGGTTTTGTACAAACTTAACTTGTGACTATCAATTTAGTCCTTCTGGAAATGATCACACATCCGTTGTTTTTCAAAACCTCTTAACTTGTGTCAGTACATTTAGTGATTCCTTTGGAGAATGTGGCCTGCTAAAATGTATCATCTTACTCAATCTTATAATGAAGTTCATTTGACAATTGCATGCTCATTCTGAAAATTTAATGATTTCCTGTCTTTTCTGGAACCCTCCTCTGCATTAAGGAGAATTCCAGTTTGAATATTTTGTTAAGGTACTTCTATTTCCCCTGTCAACATATTTTACATGATTGGTGAGTAACAGTTGTCCCAGTTCTGATCCATATGGAACATCATTTAAACTATTTGATATTCAGAGTATTCCTATTGTTTTGGGGGGTGGGGGTCTAATTTTCAAAGCCCTTAATTTGGGTATTTGAGAAAGAAAATAGATATATGATTTTTACAGAAAATATTGATGTGACCGGATTGTGCAATCACAAGATGATTTACTAATGTTATAGGCTACAACTTTGAAATAGTCTTACTGCCACCAACAGGAGTAATACACACTGCAAGGACTTTTGAACTATCAGTGAAAGGGTCCCGTGTGCTACATGTAACATGGATAGAAGACTTGTTAACCTAAAAAGAAAACTGTTTGATTAGGTCACTTGTGGAGCCTAACAATATTATTTAAGGAAACATGGGTGGGCAAAAGAATGCCTGACATAATTTAAAGTGAGTACAGCACATTGTTACATATTGCACTTTGTTTGGCAGCAAGGATGGAGAAGAGAAATAATTTGGTTGCATATTTTAACCCCATCATGCACAATATTAACATTAAAACAGCTTTCAATTACTTAGTACCTTTAACATAGTCAAATTTTCCAAGGCACCTAACAACAAACAAGCAAAAATCAAGGCAGAAACAAAGGGAGAGATATTGGGAGAAGAGTTCAAAATCTTAGCTAAAAAGGTAGATTTTACAGAGGACTTGGAAGGTAAAGGCAAAAAGTCTCTCTATCCCTCTTTACAAGGCTTGAGATGAGACAGCTAACTGTATGACAGCCAGTAGTGAAATATTGGGCAGAAGCTACATCAAAGGCCACATTCTCACAAATGGAAAATTGGATTTGGTGGTGGTTTAGAGCTGTCAAAAATTGTAAGACAAATCTCTTTAAGGTTTTATGCACCATTTTAACTTTGGATACCAGTCCCCAGATACTTCAATGTAGATCAGCAAGTGTAAAGGTAATGGATATGTGGAGTTTGATAATGAAAGGAGTATAGGCAGCAGCGATTTGGATAGTCTGAAATTTAAAAGATGGTGAATTGGAGGCCACCCTGGAGAATATTGAAATAGTCAAGTCTGGAAGTTACATATGACTTGGCCGAGGATTTAATGCAGGGTTCAAAAGCTAAAGCTAAGACATGGGCAGAAATAAGCAAGTTTTGAGTTGGAAAGTGCATGGGTTGGAAATTCAGCTTAAAGTATAATTGGACACTGGAATTTCAGAATTCTGCGTTGGTATCAACTGCAACTTGAGAATTTCTTAAAACAGAAACAGACTCTGCCTCCATTTGGGAGGTGTTTGTATTTGTGGGATGCCGAAGACACTGATCTGTAAAACTTCCTGATCTAGACTGTACTGACAGGTTCCTTGAGAACGGCACTGTTGAATTAATTAGCAGAAGACTGGAAGCAGCCCATTTTACTTTTGTACATCTGGATATTTTGATTAATTAGCATTGAGGCTAATGGTCTGCACTGTTAATTATGTGCAAATCAGACATAAAAACATAAAGCTGAATCTTGTAGGGGCCTGAACAATGTGGCTGATGACAAGAAATCTGTGAGAAAATTACATGAAAAGTTGGGCAAGGTCTATGTCGATGTCTAGAGCAATTGTTCCTTTGCAGAAATGGTTCAATGGATGGAGAATTTTATTTGAGAAAGATTGAAGAAATTGGGATTGCTTTCCTCGGAGAAATGAAGATAAAGAGAAGATTTGACAGGTTCTCAAAATCATGAAAGGAGCTGGATAGAGTAGACAGGGAGAAACTGTTCTTGCTTGTAAAAAGATCAAGAGGAAGCAATAGCCTCGTGGTATTATTGCTGGACTGTTAATCCAGAGACCCAGAGAACATTCCGGGGACCCGGGTTCGAATCTCACTATAGCAGATGGTGATATTTGACTTCAGTAAATATCTGGAATTAAGAGTCTAATGATGATCGTGAATCATTGTTGATTGTTGGGGAAAAACCAGGTTAACTAATGTGCTTTAGAGAAGGAAACTGCCATCCTGACCTGGTCTGGCCTATATGTGACTCCAGACCCACAGCAATGTGGTTGACTCTTAACTGCCCTCAGGGCAATTAGGGATGGGCAATAAATGCTGCCTAGCCAGCGACACCCTCATCCCGTTAATGAATTAAAAAGAAAAGAAACAGGGCACAGATTTAAAGTAATATGCAAAGAAGCAAATGCAAACTGAGAAAAAACTTTTGTTTTTTTGAAAAGACTTTATGTACACCTGTTAAACTTGCCGTAACATGATAGAATTTGCCCTTTACTGTAAAAATCAATTTTTTATGCTGTGATCAATCTTAGTTACCAATAAACAGCCTCTCTTGCACTGAAATTTGACTTTTCAAAGTGTAAAGTCATATTTCTTCAAAATTTAATTGTATATCAAAACACAATCTCTTTATTCTTTTTTTCTGTACCTATTTGCTTTTGTATTAAATGTTGTGATACTTCTTGGTATCACAACTTCTTGTATTACTCATTTACAGTTCTTCAGTTTCATTAGAAAAGGAGATACACAGTTGCTTGCCTTGTTCATGCAAGTCCCAGATCTCATGTAGAGACAGCTGTGTCAATTTCTTTTAAATGTATTTTTCTTCAGGGATCATCTTTGGCAAGGGCAGCATTTGCTGCTCACCCCTAAATGACCTTAAGAAGGTGATGATGAGCCACTTCTGTAACCACTGCAGTTCATCGTACACCACTGGTATCATTTGGATGGTAGTTCCATGTTATTGAAGCAGTGATAGCAAAGGAGCAGTAATATCATTCTGAGTCATGAACGACTGTGCCTTGGAGGGGAACTTACAAATGGTGGTGTTCCCATGCTTCTGCTCTCGTCTTTCCAGGTCAAAAATCACACGATACCAGGTTAGAGTCCAACAGGTTTATTTGAAGACACAAGCTTTCAGAGTCTCACTCCTTCTTCGGGTGCTTGGAAGGTGCTGTTGTAGGAGTCTTGATGAGTTGCTGCGTAACATGTGTACAGTACATATGCTGCTTCAGTGTATTGGTGGTAAAGTAACTGAATGTTGAAGGTGATGGATGGTGTGTCACTCAAGTAAGCTGTTTTTTTCCCTCTAGAAGATGTTATGTGATATGTTGAAGCTGCACTCGTCCAGGCAAGTGGGGAGTATTCCGTCACGCTCCTGACATATACCTTTGGGACTCAGAGATGGGTTGCTTACCACC